AAATTTGTTAATTTTCAATTAATAAATCTTTATATTTATTTAATTAGGGTTATATAATAATTTAATTAATAAAAATCAATTAAACTTCAACTGTTAATGCTAAATTGTTATTTAAATTTTTAACAAAGAATTTGATTGCAAGCTGACATAGTGAAAATATAATTTATATGTATTAATCTAATCTAATAAAATTTAGATAGTTATTAATTTTTAAATAATAAAATTAAATCTATATATTACTTAATAGAATTATAATAAACAGAGGACAATCAAAAAAAGTTCTTTTTAGTTTAAGGGGATATTAAGGAACTATTAAAAAAAAAATTTTTTTTGCTTCAGGGGGCTATTCAAATTTTTCAGGGGGCTTGAGCCCCTGCGCCCCCCCCCCTAGTGACGCCACTGCTTTAGTGTAAGTTTTGATGATTACTATCAATATTGAGAATTAATGTTCATAGAATCTGTAAATAAATATGATTAAAATAAAAAAAAATTTGCTGATCAGTAGCTATAGTATTATTTTTTATTAATGATTCAACCCATATAATAAAGTACTATCACTTCAAAATTTTTGCACCGGATGAGACCGCACCCAAATCCTCTGCAAAGACCTTTCTATCCGTTAAATTAAATAGTATTAAAATTTAAAATGGTATTATTTTGAAATTTAAATGAAATATTTAATCAAAATTTAAATATTATAAGATAATGTATTATATATGATGTTGGTGGTCATATAGTAATTTGCAAAAAACTACCATATTTTATTTGAATCGTTTTATATTCATCTATTTTAAAATAATGATTGAAGAAGAAGACAGAATAATATCTTTATCTTCGTCTGATAATTCTCCTACAGAAGAATATAATTATAAATTTAAATTAAGTATTTTAAAATTGGAATTTTTTTCAAATAACCCAACATGAACCCATCACTGCAGAAAGAATGTAAAGAATGTCACAAATACTGCTGAGTTTATCAAAGCTGTTTTAATTAAATATTTAGTTACACCATGCTGTTTAAGATTTAAAAGCGAATTCCAAGATTATGTGAAAAATTAGAATTTCCAAAACTAAGATATATTGAAATGCAATATTTAGAAATGTCTCCATTGGCTATAGCGATTAATATAAAACAATGCGAAATCAACTGCAATTATGAAGAATTAGCTAAAATATGTCGTTAAAAAAATTACAAATATAATTCAAACTGCATTTTTGCAAACCATTAGCTATTTCAGTAGAAAATTCTTTAAATAAAAGATTTAAAAATATATATGAATTTGTTAATAACTTTAAAAACGCTATCCCTACTTTAAAAATTGTTGGATTGATGGTGAAAAAGAAAAAAATAAATATCGTCAGGATTTATTTAATTATTTTAAAAATAATATTAAAATTAATATGTAAATAAAATCGTCAATTGATGAAGATCAGGATTACTTTTATTTTAAAAGTACCACATCCAATTCTAATAGTTCAATAAAAGATATTGAATTAGAGGTCCTAAATTGTATGAAATATGAAGGGGCAATATAAATATGTTAAATAGTTAATATATAAAAGAAATATTTATTAAATTTAACACAATCTTATCATCCTCCGCCCCTCAGCTTTTTTGATATGGTCAATAGGGATAAATTTTTTAACAGGAATGATATTTTCAAATATAGTGAATAAAATTAAATATAAAATTAATATCTATATTATAATTTTCTGATGTCCTCACTACGTCATCATGACGTCATGTCATCGGTAATTATTTATTTTTTTTATTTGTTGATTTTATTTTATTTTATTCATACAGATGAATGAAATTGATGGTGTACACATACCTAACATGGATTGAGAGATAAACAATATTCCCTCAAATTTTTAAATATGAATAAAATATTTTATTTCACTTAATCCTTTCTTTATTTTTTCGATTACCTTATCAATTTTCATCTCATATTATCAATTACACATTAATGAAATCTTTTTATACTCATATTTTTTTTTCATAACTAATAATTAAGAAGATAACCAAGTATATTCAAATATATAAATATTCTTATCCTAACCTATTTATAATCTCCAATCCTTATAAATAACTCTTACTTTATTTTTTTCCCCTCCCTTAATGAATTTATTTATCACTAAATTTTATTATCTCATTCTTTTCTTTCTATCTCTATTATCTATTAACCACTATTTCTCAGAACCTTATCAATTCCTTTAATTTAATTTTTATTATTTTTATAATAAAATAATTTATACCTTCTTTTTTCCCCCCATTTTAATCTTATTTTTTAATTACCTTAAAATTAATTAACCTTAATCTTAATAACATTACATTCATCATATTATTTTTTAACTTTTAGAATATCATAATAGGCTTGATAAGTCCCCCAAAAATTTTTTCCTGATGATAGCCAAACCTTATCAATTCCTTTAATTTAATTTTTATTATTTTTATAATATAATAATTTATACCTTCTTTTTTCCCCCTTTTTTTAATCTTATTTTTTAATTACCTTACAATTAATTAATCTTAATCTTAATAACATTACATTCATCATGTTATTTTTTAACTTTTATAATATCATAATAGGCTTGATAAGTCCCCCAAAAATTTTTTTTGATGATAGCCTTCCAACTACTAGAAATATGCATATAATATTGACCCATCTACCGGTTTTACATTATTTTAATGTTTGTTTAATTTCAAAAAAAGTTTATTTATATTTTTGCCTGATTTCTTCATTTGTCTAGGCTAACCCTAATCCCTCACATTGCTACAAAACATGATGAATCTATTATTAAAGATAAGCAAAGAAAATAATGACGATTAAACAAACGCCTTACCCGTTCTAGAGTAACTGGTAGACAAAATAATAAAGAACTATGCTTGAAATGAACTCATCTGGAGGTTTATTTTGTTTTTTTATCTTATGTTTTATATCTATGTTTATTTTATTTTCACCCATTTCTCCAAATGATATTTCTATCACCACTACTACAATCCCTATGCCACCTCCGCCTAGTTTTTAACAAATATAAACATTTAATTCGATACTATCATTCACTTCAATAGGAGTTAATAAAAATATTACTTTATCCGATTCTCTGACATGAATATTTAGAGGAATGTTCAAACTTGAATGTACAGTACGGCCAATTTTATCAACTTTATTAATGGAAAAATATGCAGTGTTTCTGTCGTGGCCTTTATTACAATACTTACGACCGTTTTATGGTTGAGTTAACATTGTCGTTCATGATTCTATTTTAGAAGGGTATACCAATTCTGACATTGACAGAAATATGGCTTTGCCTGTTCAAACTTGAATGTACAGTACAGCCAATTTCTTCAACTTTATTAATGGAAAAATATGCAGTAGTTCTGTCGTGGCCTTTATAACAATACTTACAACCGTTTTATGGTTTAGTTAACATTGTCGTTCATGATTCTATTTTAGAGGGGGATACCAATGCTGACATTGACAGAAATATCGTTTTGCGTTCATAGGCATATCATCTTTATCAGTACATATTGTGTTTTGTGCACTGCTTTGGTAATCCGTCATTACTTTCATCTACAAATAAAATTATACATTAATTATTTCTTCTCCAGACGACCGCCCAGATTTATTTTGTCCCTTTTTCCATCAAAAATTAAAATGTCAACAAGGATTTGCTCTTAATTTTATCAAATACATAATAAATATTCCTCATTATTTTTTAAAAAAATTATCCTAAATTTATATGTCAATAAAAAAAAATATCTTTAAAAATATATAAATAATTTGAATATAAGTTTCATTAGTGTTTAATGGCATTTTTGTAATTTAAATAGACAGCATTTTTTCCCAGTTTCCCTTAATATGGAATTTACATGTTTTTTTTCCATATTAGACTAATTGGTAAATCAGATATTTCCCGTTCATGTGATGATATTTAAAATTTAACTATCTCCGAGGCGGGAAAAAATTTTCAAAATTATAATGGGTAGGACTGGGCTTTGGAACTTCAAAATTAATATTAGCTTGCACCTGATTTGGAATATCTTTTACAAATTATTAAGGATTAGCTGGGCTTGATAAACTTTTTTAAAATTATAAGATCTTGGATGCTTCCTAATATTGTGAGCTTGAATCTGGCATGACATCTATCGTAAAAAATGAATAAAAATCTCATTCCCCGTCATTTTTGACGGGCTTTTTACTAATAAGTCTGATGCAGGGCAATGACAAAACTTTTGCTGGCCCAGGGCGTAAATGAATTAAGTGACCCTTTAAAAAACCGAGTTTTCAAATTTTAGAGGAAATTTGTGTATGTTATTTTAAAATTAAATTTTAGAAGGCAGATTTTGAAGGTTGTAGTAGCTTCTTAACTCCTTAAGTCACTGCCGATTTTTTTCTTAAAAGTTGTTATATATAAATATATTTTAGTACTCAATGATTTTAGTTTTATACCTTACGGTGTGATTTAAATTATTTTTGTTTTGTTTATATTTTATCGCGTTTACATTTTTTATTATTTTATCATTTAAGTAAAATTAAATCGGTTTGCATAACTTAATGATTGATTATTATTTTATTATAATTTATTTTATCGATTAGTGCAACATATTTTTAAAACAAAATGTATTATTTTATTTTGTGACACAAATATTTTATGATTAATATACTTCAATTTCTTATGATTTTGGATTATTTCTCATGTGCCTTATGATTATTGATTACTTTAGATGTGTTATAATTTTCTGATGAATAAAGTTGTAGAAACAATTCAGACTCATATTTTAGCAAAAGTAAATTCGATTTCAAAAAAAATGTTTTTAAGTAAAAATGATGAACTTGGAATCTGCCCAATCGAAAATAAACAATGCCTATTATTTATATTTATTCTATTATTTCTACCTGATTTTACTATAATTTAATTATTCATCGGTTAAAAATTTTACATAGAATTGTTGTTATATATTTTGAGTGATTCTTTGACATCATCTAAATATGAAGATTACTTGGTGACAGTTATCTTTTTTTATGTTTGCTGCTGTATAAGCTTGAATATTTCAATGAATACAGCTGAGAAAGTATATTATTTTTATAATTAAGTTATATACTATTGTAATAGGTTATATCTCTTCTTAATGTTGCAACTTTAAGCACTTATGATCTAGAAAGAATAAGCGCTCTAAAGGAGGTAAAAATAGAATCTCATCAAATATTTAAAATAATATTTACAATATAACTAAATAGAAATCATAAACCAATACTTATATATTGTATATAACACTTAGGCATATTTAAGATTTTGATAGGGGTGGGGGGAAGCACTCCATAAATTTTATTGGAGATCTTTAGGACCGCTTGTATGCCTTTGGCTATATCAGATTTTTATGAAAAAAATTTTGGGTCACTTTTTTCATAAAAATTTTGAAATATAAAAGTTATTAACTTTTACTATTACTAATATTTCTTTCAAATTTTTTCTTATAATGATATATCATACCATTTTTGGGGAGAGTTGATGTGTAGGGGAAAATTTTAATTAGCTTAGAATGATATTTTTGTAACAGACAATTTGTGATGTGCCCCCCCCCCCCTCCATAGTTATATTCTTCCTAAATTGATAAGGAAACATATCACACTATACTTATTTTAATAATTCCCTTTCTTATTTTTTAAAGTATCATCCTCATGATAATGCAGATTATTAAAAATAACAGGTCAAACAAAAGATTATTGATGAAGTGATAATCAATAAAGTGTAGTATTTATTAATAGTCATTTATTTTTTGGTATTATACTACATATATATTTTGAGTTAGGTTTTGTATTAAAAAAATTGGACTGGGTAACTTAGTAAAATATTGAAAACAGGCAGACTATAGGCTGGGCCAGACAAAAGCTAAATTCCAACAAAACTGGCCCTAAAAATTTTGCTACTTGTAGATTTCTAGTTTTTATACTTTATTTAATTATAAGAAAAAGCTTCCTATTTTGGTGCCCATCTCATTAGACTCATGTCTAATGATGCCACAGTTTTATCCAATGGATCATTTTAAAAAAAAGATATATTAATTAACTAATAAATGTAAGCTCATTTTTCCAGTTCTAGTTAAAACTTGAATTAAAACATTAACTAATAAATGTAAGCTCATTTTTCCAGTTCTAGTTAAAACTTGAATTAAAACCACTAATAAATTTAAATAGACTTCAAATATTGTATAGTAGCTCTTATTTTGGCAGGAAAGTTATTTTCTTAGTTTTGTTTCTTTTTTATTTTATTTTTTAGACTTAATATTTTTGTATATTAGATAATTTTTTAATTAAATTTTATATAATATGTAAAATTATTTTGTGTAAAAATATATTGCAAAAAAAAAGATATTGTCATTTTGTTAATAATTTTATTTTAAAAAACGGTTTCTATTTAATAGATGCAATATAAAATATATCCAAATATATATTTATTAGAAAAAAACATATACCAATCATTGCAAACACAGGCATGTTTGAAAATGAGGCCCTTAATTTTATCAAAACCATAGGCAAAAGAAGGAGACATACAGATAACCTCGACAAAGGATTCTACATTTGTTATCTATTTCTCTATATGCCTGTCCAAATTTTTAAGCATTTACTCATCTCTAGCTTGAGATGTTTTTTTTAAAGTTCATTTTAATTTTTTTTATATATAATTTATATGTATTATTATTTTCATATAATTTTTAACATATTTCATTTTGATATCATTTATGTTGTATTTTATTTCCAAATTGAAACTGTTAAATAAAATTATTACAGTAAGAATATAAAGAATTATAGAAAATATATACTTATAGAATAAAAATTTAAAAAAGACTAAAAAAAAACATGCAACTCTAGAGATTTGTTTTATTTGCTTTTTTGGTTATTAATTATTATTTGCTTAGACAAAGGGTCTATCCTAACATATAAAACTTATGAACATTGATATATGGTTTTTAGTAACTTATAATGTAATATCCTTTTTCAAACACATGTTGAGTGACCTCTTAACAGGCTATCTAGATTGAAAATAACACCATATATATTTATAAAATACATATGTTTAAAAAAGGGACTATATCATTAAAAACAGGGATCCAATCTGAGCATAAACTGAACAAACCAATATAGCCATTATTATTAACACAACCAAAACCAAATCTGAACCATTAAAAAATTTCATTTGAATTGAGCCTCTACTTACTGGTTTGAACCTCTTTATATCCTAACTCGTTTATGGATTATTAATCATTTTTGAATAAGTATCAGTAGCTATTCTATATATTTTTGTTTAAAATTATTTGATAGCGCCAGCTACCCAAGATAGTGTGTAAATGTGTTCTCAATCATGAAATTTATTCCTTCTTATTTATAGATATAATTTTGCAGAAGATAATCTTGAAAATATTTTAATTATGTAAGCAATATAATTTTATAGGGAATAGTGATAAAAATTTTAAAAAATTGCTTCTCTTTGCATATTTATTTATATTCGCATGGAAAAGATTACGAACCAGTTTTTAAAGGTTATCTCAAACCAAACCAAACCGATATTAATCATTTTTTTTAATTTAAAACTGAATCTTCACGAATCATTTTTTTTTTACCGAAATCATCGATTTTACTATATTTAATATATATTTTATAAAGGAATGTTTCTTAAATTACTATTACAAAAATAAATTTATAGATATTAATAATATTTTAAAATAATTTATATCAGATCCATCTAAAAATAGTATAAATTTGAATCTTAACCAAATCAATATATAAAAAATTACCTTATTTTATAAGCTTCTATCGCTTAAATAATGAAAAATTTTAACAATTTTATTTTTTTCTAGATAAAAAGTTATGTAGGCTAGTATTATAAAACTTTTGAGATTAAGCAGCTTCGGATTGATAGCTACCTTTACTCCACTCGGTGTAAAAAGTTAATGTACCGGATAAAAGTTTTTGGTGTGAAACAGGTTTAAAAAGAACCCTTGAGAGTATCTTGAAATCGATAATGCCAATTTTCTTGTGGGATAAAAAGTGAAATTTAAACAACTTGAATTTAGAGATTAACTTTTTTGGTGGTAGAACTATTTTAAAAAAAACCATAGGCCTCCAATTCTTTATATCAATAACTACATCTGCATGTAACTTTTTCAAACACCTCTTTTAAAAATGATGTCCTTAATTATTTAATTATTTATCTTCCTATTATTTAATAATCACAGGCTCAGGAATTGTTATTAACCAAGGAACCAGAACTACTCGACAAATTTATTAACGTAATATTATGATTTTTTTTAAAAAAAATAATAGATTTGTGATAATAATATTTTTTTTATAACATTAGGATATACTCGCCTTTCAAGCTGATAAATCAATCGAGATTAAAAAGACAATCATAAATTTCATCGAAGAAGCATGGTGATTTTTTTTAAATAATAATTTTTTAATGTTTAATTTTTTTTTTAAATATTAAAAGTAAAAGAAATCCCCATAATCTATCTAAAGTGTTGGGACATTTAAATATTCTTTTGAGAGATTGCAATCCAATTATTCAAAAAAAGATCATACAGATTATCACAACCATATACAAACTATTCCTTGAAGTTTTTTTTAAATATGATTTTGCATAATTTATTTGTTACTTACTAGTGGGTAACTAAAAGTGTTAATGTTCAACTAATAACTGATATGACGCATCAAATATGGATTTTTTTGAAAGGTATTAAATCGTATGTGCTGAATCTGTTGGAATCCGAAAATGACGGAATAAGAACACAAGTCATAAAATTTATGGAAATGATTGTGCTTAGCCAGAGTTGTAGATCGGCTGTAAATATATATATTTGTATAAAAAAAATGTATTTTGTTATAGGATTCATTTATGACAAAAACGGCCACATTTTCTTTGGACGAAGTTCCCGAAAGGCACAAATTTTTGCGGTATTTGCAACTCCAAGAGGAAAGCAAACAGATTTTTAATACAATGATAAATCTGTGCGGGTCAATAACTATATCTCATTCAAATTTAAACACGTTATTGGGTTCCTTAACCGATATAGCATTACAACGGCCACAATATATGAATAAAGTTGTATCTTCTTTCATAAATCTATACAGTAAATATTTGAAGATTATACATGAAATATAGTTTTTAAATTTTTAATGGATATTCAAATTAATTTGCAAACAGGCATTCTAATAACGATTTGGTATATGATTATAATTTGAATTAAGAAAATTTTTAATAAAATATTCTATTCTAATTTGAGCTATCTGACTACTTTAGACAATTTTATTCTTATTTCAAACAATTCCTTTATTACTTTTTTGATTAAAACGGTCACTTGTCTAATTTAAACAAAAAAACATTTGATATTTAAAAAAATTTCCCTCTATAGACGCAGACACTTAAACACTCTTTAATGACAAGGCTTCTTTTATTAAGCTAATCTATGAAATGATGCTCACTCTGTTTAATATAGCAAAAATATATAAAACCTGTTTTAGTTATATCTATTACATATCTCGGTCTAACTTTGATCCAATGTATATTTAAAAAAAAATTTATTTATGTTAAGTCTATGGTTCTAATATTCATATTATTATTGCATCTTCTTCCTCTCGTTTGATGATCAGAGTATATACAATCATCTCTGCCCATTAATTCACCTGGCAACATCTCATCCCATCACCATTTTTTATCTATATTCCAAAGAAATAAATTTAATAAGTTTTTTAGACAAGATGTCCCGAGAAACATGGTAAATAAAGTTAAAATCTAGAATAAACTGATTTACTATATATATATTTTTGGAGTGTAGATCTAGATTGTATTGTTGTTAAACGAGTCGATTTTTTCAAATTTCTAACCCAATATTTTAGCCAAAACATAAAACGCAAGCCTGATTTTGCTCATGGATGATAAAAAGATTTAAACATCTATTAACGAAATCTCAAAGCTTGCGCAATATTATTTTGGGGTAAAATCTTATTTAAAATTTGCCTTGAGAATTTTAATACAGGAGTCGGCCTATCGAATATTATTCAGTACGATTTTCTGGTTAAGTTTGATTTTTCTAGAGCCTTGGAGTGGAATCCCAGGAAATATATAGTAAGTAGAATAGTTTTCTATATATCAATTGATTATCATTTTTTCCTAAAGAAAATTATTATACAGTTTATATATAAAAAAAAATTTTTATAATAATAATCTATAAATTTTTAAAAGATAAACTCCCTCCAACATTAGCTAAATCTCAAGTCAGTTCGGTTAAAAAGGGAATTAAAAATAGGTTGATGAGCTTGATCAAACATCCTTCCTCTATCGAATTTCAACAACCTATGATCGCTATTTTGATTGAGCTAGGTGCCTCTCATAACGATATCTTAAAGAATTTGCCCAAAATAAGTAAGGTCAATTCACAGATGCATCTTGGCGATGACATAACCCGAAAATTTTCTTTGGAAGAGAATCAGCCGATTAACTTCAAATCTCTCGATATAACGGTAAATTTTAGGGTTTTTTTTGCCCACTTTAAAATTTTTTTTATCGTCTACTAATATAACGTGAAACGACTCAAATTCTGTGTTCAAGTCATCGACTCATAAACCAAAATCACGACTCGAGTTTTGAACTTGGGTCTTAAACTCAAGTCAAATCATTGTTTTTCTTAGCTAACATCAATTATATAATATTTATATTAAAATTATTAAACCAATATTATTATGGTTTAGTAAATTATAAGTTTTGTATTAATTTTTTTATTATAAATATTGAATTTTTGAGCCTCATAGATAAAGAGTAAAATCCCTTTTTTTATAGGCATATTATAGTCGTGTTCAAATTTTTCGTAAGTATTGGGGCGTTTTATGCTAAAAATTTACTGAGGACATCGCTTTTTATAGGCCTTTGACCACTTTACATTTTTTAAAATATTATATTATATTACGTGTGTTCTTATTTTGAATAAATGGGGCTGGATCAGGAATTTTATTTGCAAAATTTAATTATGGATTTTTTTCAGTAATAAAAATCCATTTCTATATAAAAAAACCCACCATTTTTTTGTTTGCCTTCCAGAAATATGACATCTTTGTTTCCCCAAAAAAAGTCTAACATCAAAGCCCAACCATGTTCTTTTTTTAGATTATAAATAATATGATGTATCATAGAAAATTGATATCAACACACAAGTCTCAATCGGCGGCGGTGATTTTTAAAATTTTTTTATCACCGTTCACCAGCGTGCAGAATTAGCCGCTGCATAATAATGAATTGTAGCGGCGTCGAAGGCGCTATATATTTTAAAAAATGAATTTAATTTATAATTTATTGTATTACATTTTTTTATAATTTATTTGGGTACTCTAATTCCAAAATTGTTAATAGAGTATTCTTAAATCATTTATTGTCCCACTCATAAATAAATTTCTGTATTTCTCATTCTTTAAATTAGACTAAGGAATTACCTTTTATACAGGTCAGAGTCACGCAACACATCAATATTATTCTTATTAAATCAAATTTAAATGTATATATAAATTTGGAATGCACACAAAATATTAATAAATTTAGTTAAATTATTATTGTTGTGAATAAATATTATTTTGTTAAGTTGGCGCATTACAAGGTTATTTTTATTTACCAATGAATTTTAATTCAGATATATAAAAGATTATTTCATTAGGATTATTTGTTACTGGTTAACAAAGTACTTTTTTTTCTAAATTAGCAAGTCTAGGAAATTCCAGTTACTTTTTCCCAAAAGGTTAGTGCATTCTGTTCTGGTGTATGTTGACCGATTAAAATGTGGCATTCCTACTCTAGATTGCTAGTGCCTTTATAATAATTCCGTCAGATTTTTAAAAATTAATTATTGCCTGAAATATATTAGTTCGATTATCCCCTCATCCTTAAATTTATTATTTTCTAGATATTCTTAATTAATTTGTTATTAAATTACCAATTTCTAAGAATAAGTAAAGACATTAGCCTGTTTTGTTTCACATTTTTAAAATAAAATCGTTTACATTATGTTGTTTGTCATTTTTTTAATTATAAAATATTCCAATATTTATATTAGTGATCTGCATCGGGCCTAATTTTTCAAACCCGGCCCGATATTTTTTTAAACCCGAAATTTTTAAAAAAAGTTTTGCCAGCCCGGTCCGAACCCGATATTTTTTTTAAAAAAATTTACCCACCCGGCCCGGCCGGAATTTATTTAAATATAAAAATTAATTTTTATAATTACTCAAAATAAAAGACATGTTATATGTCGTTTAGTTTCAATAAATAAAATAAAATATTTTTATTTTACACAAAAAATTATATATTGATAAATTTAGATACATTTAAAAAAAATTTCAAGGTCCTACCCGACCCTCGAATTTTTTTGAATATTAGGCCCGGCCCGAACCCGATTATTTTAAATAGAATTAGGCCTGAGCCCGGCCCAAAGCCCGTTCGGGCCGGGCCTAACTTTGTAGATCTCTAATTTATATACTCTTAACTTAATAAAAAATATTTACAAAATGGTCGAGTTTTTAAATTAATGACTTGAAATTTTTTAAATCTTTTTTATGAGGCTCAGATTTGTATAAAAAAAATTTTATGATATTTATTGGTCTAATTTTAATTAAATATTATATAATTGATTTTTGCTGCCAAAAACAATAATAATTTGACTCAAGATCAAAACTCGAGTCGCGATTGAGTTTACGACTTAGGTTCAGAACAACTTGAGTTTAAGGCAAATTCAGAACTCACATCGCGACTTGGTTTACGTCTCAACAAAACTCGAGTTGTAAAAATGTGTCGACTACTAGAAGTCGTAGTCAGAAGAATTCGACTATTTATCAACACTAATTTACCAATTTCTTATATGGATATATTTTATAAAAGGGGAAAAAGCAGGTCACATCATAAAATGAACTAATGGATAAATAAATAATTTATTTTTAAGGCTGGGAAATATAAACAGAAACCAAACTGATTTTTTTAAGTTTATATTTATTTGTTAAATATTCAATGTTTTTTTCCTTTTAGATAAAAATGTTTCGATTATTTGATTTATGGGTGTTTTAAATTATATAGAATAATCCTTAATATTATAGGATGAAAAGTTGGAGGAAAATATAAAGAACCAAATATACGAATCTTTGGATAAGCAAACAGTCATAGATTTAGTTTTGGATCACATGGTATACTAATACAATTTTAAATATAATATCTATATTTCACGATCAAAGTATTTTAAATAATTATTTTAAGATATGGTATATTGGATTATTTCGGGTATTTTATTTCTAAAATATTTGTTAAAAGTCAGGTAGACGTTTCAGTATAATAATAATGAACAATTGATGATGAGAGAATATTTCATTATATTAGAGCTGATTTAAATTTCATAATAATATTGAGGTTGGTCATATTAAAGAAGAGGACTGATTGACACAACTTAAGGAAAGAATTTATTTAACTGAATAATTAGAATTTAATTATACGTGATACCTGTGCCCTTTTCATTATATAAAATATCAGAGCTAAGCCTGGACTCTCATCCCATCTGATTGGGTTAAAAATTTAGGATTAACCTAAAAGAGAGGCCCATCCACAATTTTTTAGCAGACTGTTATTATATGCATGCAAGGGCCAAAGGTGCTTAACACTAGTGTTGTTATACGGCTCGTTTTGAGCCGATTTTTCAAAACGGCTAACTCACTACTTTATCCAGAAAAAATATTACCCAAGTCTGAAGATTTTGCTCATAGAAGGAACAAAGGTCTAAGCATATATTAACAAAATCTTGAGGCTTAGGCAATATTTTTCTGGCTAAAATATTGAGTTAGCCGTTTTTAGAAATCGGCTCAAAACGAGCCGTTTAACAACACTACTTAACACCCATAGGAAGTAAGAAGGTAAAAACAAACCCGTACCCGATTAAAATAAAGTTGCGATTTGTCGATGGGAATCGACTAGTTTAATTTTAAGTTGATTTCGTAATTTGATATAGGGGAGTATTTGAAACCAATACAAGTGAAGGTAAGTAAATGAGATAATAAAATGGATCTTATAGATAGTGTCATATAAAGGCGTCTACCTAATAATCAAGCTAGAACTTATGTCCACTTATATGGAGGTTGTTTACCCCTTAAGCCGAAAGAACGATAAAACTGTATGAAGTTGGGGGGTTACAGCTTAAAAGTTAGTGCTACACTGTACAGAGAGTAGAATATTTCAGTTTCTTAAAAAAATACATAGAGATACATAAAAAAATCTGGTAAATAGTGAAGTAAAGAAAGTGCTTATCATGTGTGTGAGGATAAATATGGCCCATAGGATAGTTTTGTTGATTTATGATCGATTTTTTTAAGTCAATACGATTTGTATTTGCATTATGTTTTACTTTTACATGACTGCAGCCACGCCAGGGCTTCATGTACTATATTATATTTGTTCTTATCACATGCCCGTACGATTTTATCCATCTTGGGGGTGGGGTTGACTGGACCAACACACTTTGCATTGTTACAATCAAAATTAAAAAGAGTAATAATGATCTATATCTTCATCTCTTTGAAAACTACTCTATGATGATTGACTTAACAATTTTTCAATTACAGGAGACTATATTAAAAATTAAACGAGGTGTCCTAATTGATACTTAATATGACTGTAAAATTGAGGTCCGATTCTTATCTGGGAACATTTTTTTTCATTTAATAAAATATATATTAAAATCTAACTTATAAAAGCAAACTATTATATCATAGGCAGTGTAAATTTAAAATTGACATTAGGATTTCACGATAATGTTTTAATAATATCCGAAAAATAAAGATCACTATAGTCCATATTTTTAATATTGTGAGAATAGGAAATTAGGCTAGAGATCATGCAATTTGATTCACAATACCATATTTTCACTCATTATAGCGAGATTGTTTAACGGTCATTTTACCTTTAATTTTATAAACATTTGGCCAAAAATATCCATACCCGTATCAAGTAGCATATAGATTTTTTACTATTTAATTTTACTCGCGGACTTTGGTTATATCAATTATTACTTTCTAACAATAACACTGGTCTTATTGATCATCATTCGGGGATTTTCTTTCTATTAAAATTGACAAATGAAAGGTTAAATTGTCAATCGATAAAAACAATCTATCTGAACATATAATTTTAATTGGAAATCATATAAATTACAAAATCATTTGAAGTTCGCACTTTAAGAATCAAATTTATAATTTTTTCCTTTGATTGATTATTATAAGTGCGGAGGTCAAAATTTTAAATCCGACCTGGATTTTAAAAAAATTCTTTTTTTTAAACAAACATATTATTTGACCATTTTATCTTTTTATTGATTATTACATGATTTTTAACATTTTCCATTTGATTAATTTAATTTGAATTATTTTTTTTGGATCGCATCTCGGCAACAAATGATTTGGTTGTAATTTTTTATTTAAAATTATATGATTATACGGGACGGGTTAATAGTCCCCTGATATTTATCTTTATTACAATTAAAGAGAAAAACACTTCTTATATTAGTTGCTACACTTATCATTTTTTTTCGATAGAATTATCTTCCAGAAATCATTCCAAAAATATTTGTCGATAATTATCAACCAATTCGAACAGCAGGTTCTAATTCACAAATTATGGTTTTAGCTCAACTTCTAACAGACATGATATCAAAGGATAATAAACCTATATTTGAAAAGGTAATTTAAATATAATTTTCTGACGATCTAAACTTCCTACCCATTAACTCCTCACTTGAATAGGTCCATATTTTTTAAAAGAAATTTTTTTTTAAAATTTAATCATTATAACATTTTGTTTTTATTCACTTTATAACCAGTTAACTAAATATATTTTAATTATAAAAAATCTCTTCCATAGGTCGAAGCAGAAACTTTCAAAGATTATGGACGAAATTTCCAAAAATCAAGTTTCATTGTTAATATTTTAATTTTATATCTAAAATTATTTTGAAAATTACAACTTTTATTTTTGTCGAAGCAAATTAAATGAAAGCTATATTATAAATTTATTATACCACTATTAAAATTTGAAATAGAGTCCTACGAAGAAGTCTGAGCTTCAGTATTATATTATATAACATATACATTGAATATCACGATTACAATTTGAATTTAAAAAGATAAAATTTAAAAAAAATCAGTAAGGTGGAATACATTTTCTCATATGATATTTTTTAAAATTAATTAAAATTCGTGTTGTAAAGAGATGCATTTAAAGTGAACTCGTTTGTGAAGAAATTTCGTTTTTGAAAAACATGGTGAAAGGTGTTTCCTCTAATTTTAAACGTGAACGTATTCATATTTTTATTTAAAGAAGTTCATTTTTGCTTATTTATTTAAAAAAGCTTTAATTTTTATTAATTAAACTTAAAAAATTCCATTCTGTATCCTTCAGATATTTTTAAGTACTTTTTTTATTTCTTACTAGCGTCTATTTAACTCTCAGATAATCATATATATATTTGCCATGGTTTAGTTACACAATATGCATTAATATGCATTTCAATTTTAGATTTTTAAAACAATATTAAAATAAATTGTATAAAAATATTGTAATAAATCATGGAATATTTTATTGTTTTTAAAAATTTAAGCATATAATATTTGCAGATTTTTTTAGTGGCATAGTGTCCTTTTACAAACATATTGTGGCCTTTTACAATTTCAATGTGACTAAATAAGCTATATATGAAGATCAGTATATTATTTGTTCCACAAAACATTCACTATTCAAACTCTATAATGGTTTTGGAAAACTTTCACAGAATAAAATAATTAAAAAAAAAACTAGTATCATATTTAAATAAATATGCAGAAAACCAAGAAATTTAACAACGGACAGCTTATTCTAGAAAAAATTGACAAATAATTTGTGGAAAATTTAATTGTCTATCAAAAAAAAATTAGATAAAATTTTTATTTTTAAAAAATTTCCAGAAGTAATACTTTTATTTATCAAATATAACTTCGCAATACCATTCTAAGCTCCCCTAGAACGCGTTTTTAGCTTAGCAAATTCTGCTTTAACCGTAAGACATTCTTGCATGTCCTATAAACATGAAAAGCAATTTTTATTAAAAATCTAGAGAAATTATTTTTAACAAATTATATTTTGTTTTATATTTTTACATATTATATTCTATTACAAAGCATAAATATTAAACTAACATAACATGGTGTTATTATATTATGCATTTATTTGTATTAAATATATATGCATTTTAAAAAATATATTTTTAGATGAACGCACTCTTTTTTTTGTAAATGCACTACTAACGTTAATTTATTATGTAAAAAAATTTACAACACTAATTAAAATATATAAAAATTTTAATAATTATCAGTTACATTAAAATAGGAAATAAAATGAATATTTTGAAATATAATTTCCTAATTCCATTTATAAAAAATTGGACCCGCCTACACCGAAATTATTTTATAGATTTCGAGCGGTTTCGGGTCTAAAAATTATTTTGCAAGTCGCTCATTTGAAATTATCATTTAATCATTTTTTTTATTCAATCATGCCTAACGTCTTTATTAATACGAGTAGCTAGCAATATAAACAAACATGAGATTATGGAAGGCAAAGAAGAGTCAAAGAAGCTAGATGATGGGAGTCATCTCGTTATGGCGTTTCAAGCCTTGAGCTCTCGTCTCAAAAAATGTTGCTCGGGAGCACGTTACGACCTCGTGAGCCGTGCCACTAAATCCAGGCAACTATTGCGTTCTCTTCCCGCCCACGATCATCTGGCACTTTTAATACCAGATTTTGAAGTTAACACCTTATGTATAAATGCCTGCCTCCGGATACTCACCACCGCGTCTCCTTCCGCCTGCCAACAAAGGATACCCCTCCTTCTCAAAATTATTCAAGACACCGAGGACACTTCCCCCAAACTATTTTCGGGTTCTTTAAACATGATTATTTTTTATACCTAAAGCTTTAATAATTGTGAATTTTAAAATGTTTGCCATTTTGATAAAAAAAATATCTAGACTTTTGAATAAGCATGATGTGTGATCATATAAAATATTATATGGGAAGGTTAGAAATAGAAGTTCTCCCTCAATATAGAAGAAATATGCTTAAAATATATTGAGAAATTATAGACTCTCTTATAGAGGTCTCCAAAGTGATTTTTTCACAACCCGAACCCGAATTATAAAAAAAAATTTAACCCGACCCGAACTCTACTCATTTTTAAATTTGAGTGTGAATATAATATCCAAAAAACAATTAATGTATTACCGTAAATAAAAGTTTATTTAACCGCCATAATATAATCAATATTTATATTAAGTTTCATTTTATTTAAATTGGAAACATCTTTCATTTAGTTTAAATATTAAAAAGGTTGAAATACAATCGAATTTAAAAATTATTCTGATTATATAAAAATAATATGAGATATAGTGAACATATTGTAAAGATATATCAATATTCTCATCAATTTCAATAGTCTAGCATAGTGAATAATTGTGATATATAAATATTGAGAAGTCGAGTTTGTCAGGCTTTCAACAAGTCCTCCTATCTCCAAAGCCCTACCAGCCGCTGAAAGTGCTCCTAGAGGAAGCAGGGATAGCCAGAAATATAAGAGTTAAAATACTTAAATTGGGAAAGGCGTTTTGATAAGTCTTCCATCAATTTAAGATTTGGTAAACGATTTTAAATATTGAAAATTTGAGGCTATTCAAAGATATTAGATAAATATATTTTAATTAACCTGATATAATATGATGTAAATAAAGTATGTAATAATAACACAAATATATAAGAACAAAAAAGTTTGATATCGGATGTTATGTAAAATAATAATTAAAAATGATGAAATCTCTTAGATAAAAAATGACACCTTCTAATTGACATTATGAATTAAAATGATTATTTAGGATATTAATATTTATTTATCGGGTCGGGCACTTGTTACAACCCGAGCCTGAAAATAAAAAATCTTTTATGACCTATGGACAACCTGTGCAGACCTCTCATATAATAATATTGTTGTAACCAGAACTTGGAACTAGTGTTAAACGGCTCGATTTGGAGCCGATTTTTAAAAATGGGTAATGTAATGTATTTTAAGTAGTAGTAAAATATCGATTTTTTTTTATTCTTTTATTTAGTATCCAGAATCAAAATCATCATTTATTATTCAAATTAATATCAAATTATATAATACTAATAAAAAATAAACATTTTACAAAAAACCAATTTAATACACATCATTTATCCCCAGTCTATCTGGTTTCGATCGTATTGACTTGTTTCTTCCTTCCTCTCCTTTAAATTCATTTCATCGTTATTTTTTATCACATTCTCTTTGTTTACTATCTCTTCGGTTTTCTCTTCTACTTCAGTTCTCTCTTCTAATTCGTATTCTTCAATTAATAATATATTTTAGGTTCTTTTTCTTAATTGGTCCGTACGACGTATAATCGTATTACCCGCTATACTTACTTCATAACGTTGTGATCCGAGTATGTCTTTAATAATAGCTTCTTCCCATTTTTTTTCTTTATTATTGTAAAGGCGCGACCCTGGAATTTTTGATTGTTGTATTCTAACTTCTCCTTTTTGTTCACTCGCGAATATTTGATCTAACAATCCTCTAGGTTTAAATTTTAGTAGTATTTCAGCGGAACTTTGTTCAGTTTCTTTCCCTGGTGTATTTCTGTAATTGTAGAGAAAAATAGCTAGACTGGTTTCTAAATCCCTCTCGTTTCTTTTATTCATACTCTGTTTAAAAGTTTGAACTAAACGTTCGGCCATGCCGTTTGTCTGAGGATGATAAAGACTTCCGTGCACTAATTGAATCCCGTTTTTTCACAAAAATCATTGAAATCTTTGCTGCTGAATTGGGGTCCGTTATCAGAAACGATTATCTTGGGAAATCCGAATCTTGCAAAAATATTTCTTAATATTTTTATCGTGCTTTCGGTTGTAGTGCTAGTCATGGGAACTGTCTCTGGCCAGCACACTGCCAACCAATAATGATTTTGAAATGGTCCAGCATAATCAATATGTACTCGGTGCCATGCTTTTGGTGGTTTTGGCCAATTTTGAACTGCTGTCATTTGAGGCATATCGTGTTATTCCTGGCATTCTCTACATTTTTCGACCTACGTTTCTATATCTTGGTTTATATTAGGCCACCGCGCATATTGTCGTGCTCTCATTTTCATTTTTACCATTCCGATATGTCCTTGATGTATCATGTCCAACGCGTTGTTTCGGTATTGTTTTGGTATTATCATTTTAGTTCTCCATAATAAATAACCTCTCTCTGTTGTAATTTCCTCTCTCCTATGGCTATACTCCTTTAAACATGCATCATAGTTTATTGGCCATCCATCTATTGTATATCTGTATACTTTAGAAAGTATATCATCTCACATTGTTTTGTCACAACGACAAGATTGTCATTGTGCATCAAAACCTAAATATAAAAATAGAAAACAAATATATATATAAAAAGGAAATTAATAATAATTAGGAATCACGAAATCATAAAATCCACTTTAAGTCTTTATTCAAAATTATAACATTATCAAATTAACAAAATTATAATAGTAAAAATCATAAAAAGGAAAAAGAAAAAGAAAATACAAAAAAAATTAATAATTAAAAAAAGATTTTTTGTATCGTAAAAATTGGCCTTTTTATACTCTTTTCAATCTTCTTATAACTAATATTCATAACTATTCAAATATAATCTTTTTATCACGCGTTATAACAATAAATCCACAAGAATTCTTTATGCAAATTAAATATAAAGTACAACAAAATCCAAAGGAATTCTTTATGCAAATTAAATCTAACATTTACAACATGTTTCTCTTTCAATCTCGCTTGCATTTAAAGGTGTTTCTCCCACCTGTATTTGATCTAGCGTTTCTTCTTTTGATATTGGAGTCCCTCTTTATGGGTAATCTAGATAGCATGTCAGCATTTGCTATTTATCTACTACTTTTGACTGACTTTTATTTCATATTGGTAATGGTAACCTGTTAATAATAAAGCCCATCTTTGTATTCTGGCTGTAGATGTTGTTGGTATATCTTTTCTTGGATGAAATAAACTCATTAATGGTTTGTGGTCTGTTTGTAATGTGAACTTTTTTCCATATATAAATTCTTTGAATTTTGTAACCCCAAATATGATGGCCAAAGCTCCTCTTTCTATTTGGCTATAATTTTTTCAGCTGCATTTAGCGTTCTTGAGGCGAATGCAATTGGTCTCTCCTTACATCCTTCTATATGTGATATTACTGCCCCAATTCCTATGGCTGATGCAATCTGTTGCTAATATAATGGGTAATTTTGGATCATAATGTCGTAATTTTGGAGTACTACTTATTTCTTGCTTTATTTTTTCATACGCGTCTTTGCATTCATTAACAACAACAACTGCTTTTTCTAATAATTTGTATAATGGTTTGGCTTTGGCTGCAAAATTTGAAATAAATTTTGAACAGTATGTTGCTGACCCTAGAAATGACTGTAATTGTATCAAATTTGTTTTGTTTCTGGTGCCTTCTTTACAGTATTTTTTCGGTAGTTGTAATTCCGTTTTTTAAAATATTATGTCCTAAGTATTCGACATTTTGTTTAAAAAATTTACATTTTTCTATTTTTAGCTTGATTCCATTTTCATCTAGACATTTTAGTACCCTTTTTAAATTTGTTTCGTGTTTCTCTCTATTTTTCCCGGTTATTATAATATCTAAATAACAAGCTACTCCTTCAAAACCTTTTTATAAATTCTCGATGGCTCATTTAAATATTGCTAGAGAAGACGATATATTTAAATAATCATCTATGCGTATTGATTACAAAATATTTTTGAGACTCTTCCCCCACTTTAATTTGAAAATAGGCATCTGAGAGATCCAATATTGAAAATTCCTCTCTTTTCCCCAAATTGGCTAATAAATCTTGGATTCTTGGTATTGGATATGAATCAATATTAATATTTTGATTTATAGTTCTTTTAAAATCCCCGCAAATTCTTAATGTTTTATCTTTCCTTTTAACAATTACTTTGGGTGATGCATAAAGTGAATGATTAATTTTCTCTCTTACTCCTATTTTTTGCAATCTATCTAAATTTTCTTCAACTTTATCTTTTAAAGCGTATGGTACGGGACGTGATTTACAGAAAATTGGTTTCTCGTTTTTCATATATATTTGTGCCTTAAAATCTTTCAAGCAGCCTAATTCTTTGGTAAATAATCGAGGAAATTCATTTTGTATATTATTATTATTTATTTGTATGGTCCTTTCAGGTAATTCAGTCATTTTGGGAAATTTAGTTATCCAATTTCTTCCAATTAGATTTTTGGTATATCCTTTTGTAATTATGAGAGGTAGTTCTAATGTTTGCCCTTTATATTCTACTTTTACTACAGACTGACCTAATAGTGGTTGGTTCCTTTAGCAATTTGTTAATTTAGAATGATTAAGTTTATTTTTCCAATCTATTTCGTTAATTATACTGACCCCAGCTTCAGTATCCAATTCCATTCTTATATCGCTGTTATTTATTTTGACATTCACCCAAAATTCTGGATTATATTCGTTTGTTTTATTATTAATAAAATTCACTATTTCTTTTCTACAGACTCGAGCAATGTGCCCAATTTTGTTGCATTTATAACAAGTAGCATTCTTGAAAAGACAATTTTCCCTTCTGAGGTTTCCGCCGCAGGAGTGGCATGGATTTGGTTTTTTGTAGCTCGCATTATAATTATAATATGATTTTGATTGTTTATCATTATTAACTTTTTTAATTTTATTTATATTATCATTATGTTCCTCTTCTAAATGATCGATTTTAGTTTCATCATTTTGTATTAATTTTGTATTTTTTATTGCTGTTTCTACTGCAGTAGCTATCTGAATAGCTTTTTTATGCCTATATCGTCTTCGGATAGTAATCTTTGTAAAAATTTTGGATTTTTTATTCCGAATTTAAATTTATCTCTTAATGAAGTATTTAAATATTCCCCCTAATTTTCGTAGATTTTGTATATAGTCTATTAGTTTTTCATCATTTTGTTGATTATATAGATAAAAATTATATCTCTACTATTATATTAGGTTTGGGATGAAAATGTTTGATTAAAATATTATGTATTTCTAATACCTCTTTGTTTCCCGGACTATCAGGTGCACATAAATTTACCAGTATTTTGTAAATTTCACACCCTATTGTTAATAACAGATTTTTCTTGTGATAATGTTAAACTTGGTTGTGTGTTTTTAATTCTTGAAATAAGTTGTATAAAATATCGTAATCTTTTCATTCTTTTATTTAGTATCCAAAATCAAAATCATAATTTATTATTCAAATTAATATCAAATTATATAATAAAAAAAATAAACATTTTACAAAAAATAACAAAAACAACAATTTAATACACATCAGATAACTTAATATTTTACCCAGAAAAATATTTCGCAAGCATGAATATTTTGCCCATAATTGGCACAACGTTTCGAACATCTATTGGCAAATTTTCGACGTTTAGGCAATATTTTTCTGGCTAAGATATTGAGTTTGGCTGTTTTAAAGTTCAAATCGATCCATTTAACAACACTACCTGAAACCCTCTATTTGAAATTTATAAGAACCAGAATCCATTTTAAAATTTCTGGGAACCTGTTCTAGCAAAAGTGCAAGTAATTTATATATAAATGGGTAAAAGTTGTGTGAAATCCTCTAAATTTTTAAATATTTACACGATCATATTTATAATTCAAATAAATAAGAAAACTAGATATTTATTATATTATATTTTTACAATTTAAATAGGACTTTAGTAAGAAGACCTTTATTTATTTTAAATATTTCATTACTTAGTTTAAGAAAATTGGAGTAAAATTAAGATATATATTTTTTTAAATATAAATTTAATTCAATTATAACAATTATATATTTTATAGTGGTAGTTGATTACATATTGGAAAATATGCTAGGGCAATATGAATTAGCTCTTTCTTTATTGATGAAAACATATGAAAATGCCTTAATATCTCTAAATAATGAATTCAAACAATATGAAGATTTACTAAATTTATTTATCCGAAGCATCATGGAAAAAAATATATGGATTAATGAGTCAATTTAAATCATTAAATAAATAAATTCAATTTTTTTATAGATTATTGTTAAAACTTCTCTTGGAAGTTCCTTTAATAACCGAATCAAATATTCAGCAACTTAAACAATGTATAATAGGGTCTGATAATGACGCAATTATATTCTCGATATTTATTAAAATGTCCCATTATCGACCTAGTATTAGGGAAGTTATTATAAATCAATTGATTTTAGATTTTACCATTCATTCCGATAATCTCGTAATCAGAAGATTATCATTGGATATTGTAGTCGAAATTTATAATAATAAGAATTATTCTTCCATAATTGAAGTTTTTTATAAAAAAATTTTATGTATTAAAAATATATACTTAGGAATTTGCACTTAGGCATTTAAAACTTTTGTCCCTCGAGAGTCCACCAAAGTCTTTATACTCGAAAATTAATTACCAAAATAACTTTGAAGATAAACTCTGGAATGATGAAACCATAAAATTATGTCTGCAGCTATTTTTACAAATTCTTCCAAAAAATCATAAATTTATTAATGACTTAATCAATGTGTATGTTGATGCCCACTCAGATATTAAGCGAATTATATTGAGATCGCTGGAAGGACCGGTATTATTAATTCTAATATTTAGAAATTAAAGTTTTCATATTTGTAATTATCATTTTGATTGAAGTTGATATTTTTAAGTCTGTTTGATACACATTAGTTACTGTAAAACTAATTTCTTCTTATAAAGACGACTAACTAATTTTCAAAGGGAGTTTTAACTATAGACTATTAATTAACTGTCTACCCACAAAAATAAAATTTAGTCAGAAATATTATCGATATATAAATTCTATAAATTTGGAAAAATGATCTTTATTTATAATAACATATAATATTTGTTTATATTTAGGTGGCATATTTAAGTTTTCAGATTTTTTTGGGAGGGCCTCCTTTAATCGTAAGATTTTGATTGTTTATCAGTTTTCGATTAAGTTCCTGTTATCAAATTTTCGTTAAATAGAGTTTAAAATTCCTGAACCCGAATTCGGGGTCCAGAACCCTGGTATTTTTGTCCATTTCGGCCAAAATGGACATCACTTTTAATACGAATTTTTATACAGGTAACTATTCTATTTATGCTTTTATTTAATATGTCAGATAATTCCAGGTAATATTTAAACAATATTTAAGATGTATTAAATGGACCAATCAGAAAGTGGACGAATTTACGATCTTAGTTTAATAAATCAATTTTTTAAGTTAAAACCTACGAAAATTCGAGGGATTTAGAAAATTTTTATGTATGGCAAATTATTAGTTAACTTTTATTTATAAATAGCACCATATCTTACATTTGACTTGAATATTATCATTAAATAGATTATCGACCAAAAAATCTATACCATGAAGGTTTTTAGAACTTGAATAGCCTTGAAAATAAAAGGGAAGAAAAGATAAGCGCCGATATTGAAATGAGATCGGCCGAATTCTGAATATTTTTACGGTCCGGCACAGAATTTTTTAAAATTTCGTTATTTTGAATAATTTTGTAAATTGTTTCAAATGAAAATATAAGTAATAAATAAATCCATAATAATATTTTCCCACTCATTGAATGATATAATTTGTTTTTAAAAAATTTTGTTTTTTTAAACATTTTTAAATCTGGCCCAAATTTTTAAAATCATATCATTTTTCGACCTGTTCCAAACCAAGTCTGCAATATAATCACATACACTCATAAATTTAAAAACTAACTTATTTCCATAATATCTCGATTTATATATAATTATAGGCGATAATATCTATTTTAGTTAAGTTCTAAAAAAATGATACTTAATAATTTATAAATCTAATCCTGGCCATCTTATAAAATCAAAAAAATTGTCAAAAATATTCTGCCGCCTAAAATTTCGAAAAGTTATGCCCTTTTATAAATATACAATAAATAACACAATTATGATTATAGGAAACAATCTATTTTAAAATAATTTAATTTAGCGTGTTTGAAGGAGCGCGTTCGTGAGTAAAATATAATTAGGTAACGCATTTATTTACTCCTCGTCTAAAAAGATATACAGAGGCAAATGCCCCTCCCCGATCATGTGAATACTTATTTGAACTGGATAAAAAATATAGCTTATTTACATATTGCAATTTTTTTGTGCGTAGTTACTATTTTATAGTTAAAACTCCTTTTTGGTAAGTAATTTGTATTAAATTACATTTATATGTGATTTGTCCATTCTAGTCTTTTTAAACGGCTCGATTTTTAAAAACGGCTAACCGAATTTTAGCCAGAAAATATTATCTAAGCCTTGAAGACTTTGCTCATTGATGGCAGAAAGGTTTCAACATTCTGTTAACGAAATTTCAAGGCTTGCATAATATTATTTTAGCTTTAATTTAAAATCAGATAAACCTAGAAGTTTAAACTACTCCATTCTCTAACTTTTTTTAATTTAAAAGGTGAAATTAATGGGTGGCGTAGAATCAAGCGAATTATTATCAGCCATTAAAAAATGTGTTAAAGGGTCAGAAACCTTAATAACTCGTTTAGTTTATATATTAACTATCGAATCGAGTTCGAATATCTCTAGCCATCGGCCACCTGTCAGCCTAGTGAATGCGGTTCGCTGGCTCTACTACCAAACCAAAACTGTTACCGATGTACGGTTATTGATACCTATTGTCACCGGTCTTACTAGAGAAGAAATTTTGAACCTCCTTCCTAAATTCGTAGCCTTATCTAACATTAATTTACTTAAAGAAGTACTTTACAAATGTTGTTCTTATGTCTCGATATTAACGCCTTCTGAACTATTGGTTGCTTTGCACATGATACCTGCTATGATGACCCCTTCATTTACTACCACTATTCCTAAAGTTGACGAAGATACTGGCGATCCTGAAGGTAATTTATTTTAAAAATAATGATTTCGCGAAGCCGCTTATTTACCGAAATTTTCGCTTTTTTATCTTAAAACTTGTAACCTATATCAGAAATACCTTATTTCATTATTAGTTAAATCTTATTCTATCTTTATATAAAAGTTTGGACAAAAATACATATATTATCATAACAACTATTATAATTTTTGTTTAATGGATGGATTATAATTTTATATAATCTTGTTAGAGTTCTCATTAATATTAAGGTCAATTTATTTGGCTCCCCGTAAAGTTTCAATAAGTTAAATGGCTTTGCATAATCCTATGTGTAAATAAATATTGCATTATTCAGGGATTCAAAAGTTTCCAATTTCCTTTTTTCAAAGGGTTCTTATGGGAAATTTTTTTTCTGTTTTAATAATTAAAATACGTTCTAACTTATTTTTTGAAATTTCGATCCGGGTTCTAAATATTTTATTTTTTAAGAACCTTTTTTAGTACATTATTCACATTATGATTATTTTAAGATTCTATTTAACCGCTCATTCATAGTTGGGGCGAATTATAAAAAACATGCTGTATTTTTGTATACTTGACCGCGAAATCGCGCTAATATAAACGAGCGGTTATCTTTCATTCATAATTAGCGCGAAGTCGCGGTGAAGTATATAAAAAATGAAAGCAGGGTAACTCCGATTTAGATTGGAAGAAATTGAGTTGTCAAAATTGTATCCTAACATCTCCAAAAAATTAATTTTAAATATTTTGTATAAATAATTGTCAGTTTTTAAAAAAAAAATCGTTTTCCTGCAAAATTAATTAGAATTAAATCTAGAGATGCAAAATTCCATTTTTTTTGATTCCGATACCTTATTTAAATATTTTTAAAAAATACCAATATCTTGATTTTTTTTTAAAAATTTCTTATTTTTAATGCTTTTATTTATTTTAAAAATATTATTTTTTTAAATCGTTTTTAATTTAAAATATACTAGAGACCTAGAGGTACCATATGCACGACAACGCCCGGAATTTTTAAAAAATTTTGGCCAGGCCTGGGTTTTTTATTTTCAGGCCCGGCTCGGGTATTTAAAAAAAATTTAGACCCGGCCCGAGTATATTAAAAAATTAAAATACGGCCTATGTACCAGGGCTTGCAGGTCTCTGATATGTTAGCATTAATGTGTTATTTTTTTTAAATCATATTTTTAGTGCGTTTTTTAATAATTAAAAAATGATTTTGCTGGAAATGTATTGCAACATGTTGTAGAAAACTCTGCTTTATAATTGTTAGAAAATTATGCCATGCACATTTGAACTTAATATGCTTTATAATACGTTTTTTCATTAATTTTTATATAAATTATAAATGTCTCAAAGGCTAACGGCAAAATTTTCTCAATTCAGGATAGGTATTCTAAGCATGCTGGAATACATTTCCGGTAAAATCAGATAAAAACGCCCTCCAATAATGATTTAAAGTTGAAAAATTAATCATTTGTATAAAATGACATACCTTAAATTTAAAAAACATAAAACTTATGAATTTATTGTAAAATCATATCATACCACATCTACAAAAATTAATATAGTAAATTTAAGTATCAAAAGAATTAAGATTTTTTAAAATTCATTTTCTAATTATATTTTCCATAAAGCAGCCGACAATCTCACTCATTATACGAATTAAAAAATCTTTTTAAATGTCTATTCTATATTTTAAATTATTTGCTTCTAAATATTATGCATCTCCAGTTACAGTGATACCACTATTCGGGGTAAATGGGTCCGATTTTTTGAACAAACACTCAAATGGGGCATGAGGACCCATTATTTTAAAAATTGTTTTACATATTAGATAAATTTCAATCATAAATATATTTTAGTTGTTTCTTGAATTGGTAACTCCTTACACATTTAAATCTAGTTTTAATAAATATAATAGGTAAGGTAGAAATTGAAGAGAATACATGCGACACCAAAGCTCTAATTAGGGCCATCAATATATGTTTCGCAAACAAAAGACTATTCACTCCAGAAGTTATATCAATAGCAATTGAATCCTTGGTTGAAGTCAACCCCTTGCCAATTTTATTTATGAGAAGTGTCATTCAATCCATAGTTCAATATCCCAAGCTAATCGGCTTTATCGTTAAAATTTTATACAATCTTGTCGAGAAGGAAGTATAGTCTTTGTTTATAATTGCTAAATTTGAGAAACGAACATATAAAGAGAGATAACATATCTAAGCGTATAATTTATTGTATATTTAGCCTTGGCAATTAAAAAGTAGACGTTGGAAAATGTAGGCATTTAAATTGAGAGAAAATCTAGATTACGCATTTATAAATTGCTTACAATAGACTAGGTTTGAATCTAAAGCTAAGATAAATATTCTATATATTCTAAACTATATTATAATTTTATATAAAAAAAAGATATGGAAGCAAAAGCAAGCTTGGTTAGGTTTTATCAAATGTTGTCAAAAAATAATGCCACAGTCTCTACCAATCTTAATCCTCTTGCCGATTAAGGAGTTAAAAGACTTATTTATGTTGGCTCCCGATCTCAAAGAAACATTATTAGATTATATAAATAAAATGTCGCCAGAAAAGGTAATGCGATTCTTTGTTTAAATTTAACACTTTTTTTAAACAGAAAACTGATAAAGTAAAAGAAATTATAAACGATATACTAAAAACGGAGCATGTTTGTGACATTGCTGTTGATAGCATACCAATTGGCGAAGAAAATATTACCGAGAACGTTGATTTTAATGATATATAAAATTGCTTTTATTTATGTATAAATAAATATTTTGAACCTAAATATGCTGCCAAGTATTTCAACATTATAAATATTTTTTTATTTAAAAAATATATCTATCACAATTCAAACACGTTTTATAATTTGAATAACATCTTCATCATTTAATACATGTTCTTTACCTACTTTTTGTGGATTATGTTTTACCGAACTACCCCACACTAATGCATATTTTAGGTGTGTTAATATGGATTTATGTATGTTATTGCAAAAATCTTCTACACTTTTTGACCTTTGTTTTAATATAACGGGTGAATCATAATCTGGGATTTGGCCTTTAGGTTTTGTATAAACTCTTACTAAATTCATATAATCCCACATTGTTTCTAATAATTCATCGAAATTCCATCTTAAATGGGCAGAAATGGGGACGCAATGGGGCAATTCTGTTATTATATCTAATTCTTCCAGCGATATTTCATCTATCTTGTTTAAAACGTATAAGCAAGGAATGTAAACGCGATTACCCTCAATAACATCAATCAAATCATCTGCTGTAACGTCACCCTTGAGCGTAATATCAGCATTGTGTATCTTATATTCAGCTAAAATCGTTTTAGCTTGATCTATATCTAATTCCGATTGAGCGACCACCGCGTTGTAATTTAAACCACCGCCACCCTTATCTTTTCTTTTAAATACTATTGGAGGACGGGATTTGTTTAAACGAATTCCAAATCCTTCGAGTTCTTTTTCTAACAAGAGTTTGTGTTTTAAAGGTTTGGTAACATCAAGTATCATTAGGATCAAATCGCAAGTCCGAGCTACAGCTATGACTTGTCTGCCTCTACCTTTCCCATCTTTTGCACCTTCAATGATACCAGGCAAGTCTAATAGTTGGATCCTTGCGCCTTTATATTTTACAACGCCTGGAACGGTTGTCAACGTGGTAAATTCATAGGCGGCAACTTCAGAATACACACCAGCTAAATTAGATAAAAGTGTACTTTTACCCACAGATGGAAATCCGACAAATCCTACTCTCGAATCTCCTGTTTTAGCGACGTCAAAACCCTCTCCTGCCCCGGATCCACCGCCTCCTTTTGGTGTTATCAATTCTCTTCTTAACTTAGCTAGGCGTGCCTTCAAAGTTCCTAAATGTGCCATCGTCGCTTTATTCTTCTGAGTACGAGCCATCTCGGCTTCAATTTCAGATATCCTTTCTAATACACCCATATCTAAAAATTAAATAAATATAAACTACATTTCAAAAAACGCCTTTAAATCTGAGATACACCGATATCACTGAACTTATATTTAAAGATGTACATCATAACAACAAATATTTATTTTAATTTATCATTTTTAAATACTATTCTGCCTCTATGAAAAATAATTTTTATATGAACAGTTACTCTTTACAAAATATCTGAAATTCGAATAAAAAAAATTATTCTTAACATTTTAAAAATTTAATTCATTTTTAACGCAATTTAAAAAATATATATAAACTAACAATTTTAAAACTCAATGCTTAATAACAAACAATTCTTTCAATTGAATAAGTAGTTTTTGGAATATTTTTTTTCATATTCGTTTTAAGATTATTTTGGTAAAAATAAAATCATGTATATCTAATGTATAAATTTTTATTATAAAAGGTAAATCTAAATATTTTTTTTATTCTAAACTAGTTTATTCTAATGGTCAGAAAACCTTTTACTTTTTTAATTTTCTGTATTTTTTTTAAAAAAAAGATTTATTTGCCCAAAATTTTGAGCAAAAATTATTTGATGATGAAGATTTTTTTTAAAGATCTAAAAAAATTTTAATTTCAATATGAAAGATTTTTATGGATAAAATCACATAAGATTTACTTCTAAAATATCTTTTGCAAAAAAGATTTGGAATTTTAGGCAAAATTTTATTAATACTGTTAACTATTAAGCATTCTCAAAAAATCTTTATTTTAAAAAATCCTTAGAGGTCTAAAATCTTTATAGATTTTTATTATAATCTATAATTCAACAAGAAATGTGCAGGAAACAGCTAAGCTTAACATATTTCTGTCCTTGTCATCAAAAAAAATTATTTTCTTGACAGATCTAATTATTTTTCAGCCTGTTAGCTTAGGTTTTCAAAATATTCAAAATAATTTTGGTCCATGTTTAAATAATTCTTTAATTGTTACAATTTAAATTTAATAAACTTGTCCTGGTTTAAAAAAAAATTGGTTTAGAACCTTTGTTTTTTTTATTTAGTTCTAGCCGTTTTTAAAATATTATTTTACTAGTTGATCCAGAAATTTTACTGATCCGATCTCATATTCATATAAAACTGATCTTATATACAATCCAATATTAAATTTATTTTTATTTTCCATCTTTTTCAAACCAAGATCATGAAAAAATTCTATGGGCCTGAGTATTAAACTATTTATATCTAAAACGAATTTTGTTATTCGTATTTTACGAATACGAATAACATAATTATTCGAAAATTAATTCGAAAAGAAAAATATATTATTCATAGAATAATTTTTTATCTATTATTCGATCGAATTATTCGACTAAAATAATTTATAGTATTAATAAATATTGGAAAATATTCATATAATTAGTAAGAATTTAAATTATTCTTATTTAATGAAATTTCCTAGTGGATTAATGAAGAAAAATTTTACATTTCTAAAATTGTTGTTAACGGCTGTTTTAATTCAAATAACTTCATAATACAAAATTTACTTCCAAAAATTGTTTTATGAAGGACGAATAAAGTATTTATTTATATATGCAATTTATAGCATATATACAATTATAATAAACTAGTAGCTATCCCGTCAAGAATGATAGGAGAACTAGATATTTTTCCTTCGTTTGATGATGGAGAAATCATAAATTTGACTTTTGGCTTATTTTACCATTTAATATGTAAAATATTGCTAGATGTGAGCTTTGCACACCTTATTTTAGATTTCATAGCTTTTTGACGATTTATTATTCCTTACAATTATTTGTTCATATACAAGGTACTAATACTCTATTAACGTTTTTTTATAATGAAAATTTAGTAACCATCTCATCAAAATAAATTTTGATTCACATCTCATAAGATAAGCAAATATCTAATTTATCCATCATGATTTACCAATCATTCTACGAACTAATGAATATTAGACTATACTATTTTAAGTTTATAAATATTGAGTTTATATTAATAACATTAACAATAATTAAATGTCAATATATATATATGTAAATTCTAAAATTAAAAACATGCTTTTTAATATAGATAAGAAAAATATATCATTAATTTTGGGATAATTTATAAATTTTATGATTCTGAGTAGTGTTTGAAATTAAAGATCGCCATTCAATCTCAGTAGAAATTTCTTATTGCCCAAATCAAATAATTTATATTTTACTATGAATCAAAATTCACTAAAATTTAGATTATCTCTAAAAATTATATTCTTGTTTATATTAAATAATTTTAAGAAAATGTTCGATGATCATAAAATAAAATATAATGTATCAATCAGTCAACCATTAATGGGTCATTCCATGTCAAATGAGCAAAAAAATCAAGATTTTCGGCCGACCCCTTTCAATTTTGATAAAAAGTTGTAGACTGGTTATATATGTTTTCATTAGATTAAACAAAATTTTAGCGCATTAGCAACTATATTAGCGGAGATAATCGGGGTTAAAGGTCCAAAAAACGCCTTTTTTTCCTTTTTACTGATGTTAAATAATTAATTTTTAATTTAAAACTAATTATGATCAAATATTGAATCTAATATCAATAGCTAAGTTAATAATTGATAATTATGGCGAAAACATCAAAAATAATTTTTTTTTAAATATGGGTCATCTTATGGTCAGTTGAAAATTTGAAATTAATATTTCGAAATGTATATGATCTCCGATTTTTAATTTTTTTAAGAAATATTATCCGTTTACTATTTTTTTAATAATTTCTTTAACAATTAGCATGGCTGGATATTTATTTAAAAAAATATTGCCATTTTTATACTTTAAAAAAATAGATGGCGCTATATATAATAGTTTTAATATGTTAAATTTCTTTTTTTTTTGATTATAAATATTTTAATGTATAATATATCCTAAAATTCGATCATATAACTTTGTAAACCTTATTCCCCTGAGATATTCGCAGGATAAAAAATTTTAATAATTTTTTTAATATTTCAATGTAAATTAAAATAATTAAAAAATCGGACTAGCACACGAACAAAAAAGCAGGATTAAAGGGGTGCAGGAAAATTATTAAGGGAAAAATCGAAAATCACATTAATTATTAGGCCTACCCCCAACCCTCCCCCCCCCCCCCCCAGACTAAATCATACTCATCAAGACCAATAATGTTATGAAATTGTCATTATCTTACATTATTAAAATAACCAGAGATAAAGATAATTTCAAAGATTTTGAAAATTTTTTTAAGCAATAAAAATAACAAAATTATAGTTCTGATGAAATAAGCCGACTCATGCCTGGAATAAAAGATTGTGTATCTGTTAAAGGCGAGAAAGAATCAGCAAAGATTTATATTAAATAATCTTAAAGAAATATTCAAGATGTTTAAGGAAGAATACCCAAGTATATCAATTGGATTCCCTAAATTTGCCGAACTTAGACCAAAAAACTGAATTTTAGTTGGATGGCACACACACTGTTTGTGTCTGCGCCATTCATCAGAATGTGAAATTAATGACAAATGTAATAGCTGAAATTACAGCAGGAGAAGATTACTGTATAAATTCTTATAACAAACTTTTGGCGCAAATTATTTGTAATCCATCTCAGCCAAAATGTTATTTAACAAATTGTGATCAATGCCCTTGTATAGAATCTCTTATGGGCCAATTATACGAATTGTTTCAGAGAAATCGTTTAGAATATGTCACGTTTAAACAATGGATCACGGTGGATAGAGCAAATCTTGAAACTATTATAAAGTCCATTGATGGTTTCATCGAATTCACTCGTTTATAGCTAAACACAAAGTTTTTTTGAAGAATTCCAAAGAAAATTTAAAAGATGAGGAATTTTTAACAATTCTAGATTATTCTGAAAATTATTCCCTTATTTTACAAGATAAAGTTCAGGGATTTCATTGGAACAATGTGCAGGCCACTATACATCCATTTGTAGCATATTATAAATCTGGAGAAGAATTAAAAAATATAAATTTTGTTATTTTGTCCGAATCATTAAGCCATAATACTAGTGCAGTCCACCTTTATCAAAAAAAATTCATTAAATTCTTAACAGCCAAATTTAATTCTAAACCAGAAAAAATAATATATTTTTCGGATGAAGCCGCGTCTCAATACAAGAATCGCAAAAATTTTCTGAACATATGCCTTCATAAATACGATTTTAATATTCCTGCCGAATGGCATTTCTTTGTCACTGCTCACGGCAAAAATGCATGTGACGGTATCGGAGGAACTGTCAAAAGATTAGTTGCCAGAGCTAGTCTTCAAAGGCCAAATAAAAATCAAATCCTAACCCCATTAGAATTATATAATTATGCTAAAGAAAATATTAATATTCAATTTGAATATGTATCCAATCAAGAATATATCGAAGAGGAATTAGCCCTTCGTAAAAGATTTAATTCTGCACTGCCCATACATGGGACCCAAAAAATTCACGGGATTATTCCCATTGATCAAAATAAACTAAAAACCAAAATATATTCTAATTCCAAAAAATATAATATAAAACAAGTTCCGTTTTTAAATGAGAAAATTATATTTTAAAATATTAATGGATATATAACATGTGTATATGATGATAAATGGTGGTTAGGATATATAATCGATAAAATTTATACAAATGAAGAAGTAAAAATCCGATTTTTGCACCCTTGTGGACCTTCAGCCTCATTTAAATTTCCTTTGAAAGATAATATTTTAGTGTTGCCTAAATCTCATATTCTCTCGCTGGTCAATCCTTCTACTCCCACCAGTCGAACATATATATTATCTCCTGAAGAATCTCACAAGCTAGCCAGGCTTTGTATTCCTTTAGATAAAGTAAGATTTAATTAATTTATAAACTATCTTAATTAGGTAAAATTTGTGAAGATTTTAAAAATTTATGATCTGAATTACAAATAAATATATATAATGCACATTGTAATCGATTTAGTATGATATATATACATTAAAATATTTTTAATCAATAAAAAAAATGAATTTTAACAT